CCACGGACGGGTTGGTCGTTGGATCGCCAACTTGAAGAGGGAGGATTTGCCATCGAACTTCTGGCCAGAGAAAAAACCCGTAATATGTAGCCAACATTTGGAAGAAGAATGTTTTCAAGATGACTTGGATAATAGCGCGTTGTGACAAACACCAGATACAGCACTGGGACTTGATCAACAGCCGATACCGCACCGTGACGTCACTAACCAGTAGGTGGCAGTAGTGTTCTTTGACAAACATGGATGCCTCCAGTAAAGCACATTCACATGAAAATTACTCTGAATTAAAAACACTGATCATTTATTGAACAGGATGGAATCATTTCAGATTTAAAGAACTTTCAGAAGTTTGAATTCTGAATATGAGCAGATTTTCCCTTTAACTGGATCTTATTTTGATGTGAGCAAAGCAGCGACTTAGAAAATATTGTAAAAGCTATCAATCTGACAGTTTTGACTTAGGAATCATAAACACCAGCTGCATGTTGTTCTTACCTGTTCTTTCTTCAGGTGCATTTACAGTTTTAGTTTCAAACCTCCAAACTTTGCAGCAAACGCTCTGCTCCCTAAACACTGAGCCATGCTGTGGCAGTCATTAAATCAACTGTGACTTGTAGTAACTTAAGAAATAAGAAGCTGTATTATCCTGGTACACAATGTTAGACCTAGGATCTAACAAATGAAAAATAGAAACTCTCCTCTGACTCAAAAGCTGAATCCAACAGTTTGTTTTCCTGCATTTCAATCTGGAAAATTCACACGGAAAGAAAAGACAATTAAAGGAATTTTATTGATGCGACTTTTGTCTTTGGCGCTCAGACCTCAGCAGCAAACATTAGATCTGAATTTGTTTGAAATGCATAAACAGGAGTAAAGAAAAGTGATGTTTCCCCCCCAGGCCTGAAACTGGTGGTAGAGAGGAGATAGATGAAGTTGGTCAGTCTGTAGACTGCTGGTTAGAGAGACGGTCTGCTGAGCTAGATGCAGAGATCCAGTGGACTGTGTGAGCTGATACTAGAGCTTCACTCAGGGACCTGGAAGATGGAAGTCCAGTTTGGATAACACAGGTTGGAGAACCTGTCCATGATGAGCAAGCATGAAGCGACAGTGGAGAGGAAAAACCTCTGGCAGAACCAGACTCAACATGGCGGTCTTCTGTCGGACCTGTTGAGATGAGACAGGGAACGCAGTGAGAGTCCAGGAGGAATGACGCTCTGATGAAGCTTTAGCTACGATGGTGGAGGAGGGGCTGGAGGGGGGTTCAAACGGGGTCCATGATGAGCAAGCATGAAGCGACAGTGGAGAGGAAAAACTCCCCATTGGGAAGAAACCTTTGGCAGAACCAGGCTAAACATGGCGGTGTTCTGTCAGAGCATACCCGGTCAGACCAGCATAGCCATAGTTTATCCCTTTAGTTATGTATGAAAATAGACTTTAAGCAACTTCAATGGGAATGTATCCCTTTATTCATGTACAAAATACTCATTTAATGACTTCCTGTTTGGTTGTTTTTTTAAGTATATTGTGATCCGAGTTTAAATTTTTTTATTTTGTACATGACTAAAGGGAAACACACGGCCGTCAAGGTGGTTTGAAGTCTATTGTTAGTTTAAAATTATAGAGATAAACTAAAAGGATAAATTCAAATCTGAAATCTTGCGCATTGACTATTTGTATGCTGGTCTGATGGGGTATGCTCATCTGACAGAACTCCAGACCGGTTGAATGGAGACAGGGAACGCAGTCCTGGAGGAATGATGCTCTGATGATGCTTTAGCTACGATGGTGGAGGAGGGGATGGAGGTCGGCTGAATTGAAGTCCGATATATCGTGACCACTGCCTGCGCTTCGGGAAGCAGAGGGAGTTGTAGATCGGAGACCTTTTAAGAAGAACTCTGGATGCTGATTGGGCTTCATGGACGCGTGGCTCAGAGCTGATTAGCTGGTGTCGGAGGTGGATGAGGGTAAGTAATCAGTTAAACTTTCACCTAGACTCCATTTCACAACAAAAGCATGATCAGCTGAACCTTCACCCCTTGAAATAATCTACATCTTAATGTTATAAAAGTACTTGCAAATCAGTGAATAATGTTAAAGATTACGAACAGTTATCGTCCCAATTTACATCCTTTCATTTTTAGGTTTTTACATCATTTTTTTTTTTTTTTTACAGTGTCCATTTTGGCAATGTGGCAATAAGAATAATTGTCTTCATGCCAAAAAGAGCCCAACAGATTATACTTTCACAAGTGTAGCAGTATGGCAATTGCCATATTGCTCCACTTGTTTCATGCATATAAATTGCTTTATTATAATTATGCAGGGAGTTTTACAGTTTATATGGACACTGCAATGTAAATATAGCAGAAAAACAGAAAAAAATAGAAAAAAAAGAGAAAAGATGAAAGAAAGAGGAGATAGAAAGGAGACAATGACGAAACATTTTCAGTCTGCTTCATCACCTGTAACGAGATGAAAAAAAGAACAGCACAACCGAAAGACATGGTACGAGATATACAATAAAGCAACACCTTGAGACTATCGCTAAAGTAATATTATTAAGTCTGACATGTACTCTGTGTTTAGGTTTTTACATCTAAAAACAGTTTTTCTGCCTGGCAGCATGTGAAGCGCCACAATAAACTTTTTATTTAAATGTACCATTTTATATTGGTTTACCATACTGCATTTGATTATTGTTCCTTGTGATTTGGCTTTGGTGAACTATCTGGGTGCAAACATTTGGTCGACTAATTTTGCCACATTTTGATCGCATGGTTCACTTTAAACTTATACTTTTCCTTTCAGTTGTCGGTTCCTGGGAAGCTGCCATGTGGGCTCAGCTGGGCCACTGAAGGAAGAGTCCTTGCTGCGCTGAATCTCAGAGCCACTGAGACTGAATCGGACTCTTCCACTTGCTGTGGAGGTGTGGGAACATTTGTTTTGCTTTTTGTTATTTTTGTTTTTGTAATTACAGTTGAAGGGTTTAAGCAGAGCAGAAACAGGGCCAGCTCCTCCAACAACCTTTACGGTGGTTCTGATATTTAGTGTTTCAGGTTCTGCTATGAGATGAAATTAAATTCAGTTTATTTCAATTTTTCCATCTCAAGCAGCAGCTGTGGGACCTTTTGCTGCAGCTTGACGTGCGTCAACCATTGACTTTGCATGTAAACTCGCTGCTTCTGCCGCGCCTGCTGCGTCCGGTGTGAACGCAGCAATAGTCATTTTCCTGCTTCACAATGGTAGGCAGCAGCTCGACAAAGCCATGATGGCAATTATTTTACATCCAAGTAGTCTGCAGATCTACAAACATCAATTTCAAACAGATGGTATCGGTATCTGCCGATGGCGCACAGCCAGGTATCGTTATCGGGGCCGAAAAAAATAAACATTGGTGTAAAACGACTTAAAACCATCTGCAGTGATTCCTGGAGCTCTCCTCTTCGATCCCGATCATACTCAGTCTGAAGCGATTTGGTTTATTTGCTTCTGGTTTCATCATGAACTCCACATCCCTCCTGATTAAACAGAACTTTTAATACCAGTTCTTCTTCAGATGTTTCAGTAAAAATAAACTTAGAGGGAAAAATCAAGAAGAAACAGCTGAGTCATCAGAGAGTGTCACTTTGCATCATTTTCTCCACATTCAACGCCTCCAAGATGAATTCTCCAATCAGGATCAGAGCTGATCATGCATGTGAAACTTCTCCCCACCTCATCTGTCTGCAGAGACTTAAAGGTGTCTTCAGAATCCAGGATGGATTTAATAACGGGATGGATTCCAGTTTGTTTGCTCCACATATTTCTGAAGCATTTCTGATGCCCCAAAACCTTCTGGACTTAAACACAGCTGCTGGTTTACATTATTCTTCATAAAATCATCAGAACACATGACATCATTTCCTCCTAAATGATTTAAACATGAGAGAAGAAATGTCTGCTTGCACTTAAAGTTTGAACATGGATCCTTTAATGTTTTAGATGCTAATTAGGAGGCAGAGTTGCACTAAAAACATGACATCAGTAGACTGTTGGTCTCTGATGGTTGGGGTGGGGGGCGTAAGCAGTCTGTATGTTTTAATATCTCACAGAAAAAAATACAATTCATGTTCTCTATTGCTTTAACTTAAGCATATTTAGTTAATTCAATTCAATTCTATAAAGTTTATTTCTATATAGCCAATTCACATCATGTCATCTCAGGTCACTTTCCAGTTCACCAGATTATCCAGTCAGATTGATTCAAAGTTTTCTATCTAAGGAAAACCAGCTGATTGCATCGACTCATTGACTCTTCAGCAATCCCTCACACTAAGCATGCTTGTAGCGACAGTGGAGAGGAAAAACTCCCTTTGAACAGGAAGAAACCTCCAGCAGAACCAGGCTCAGTGTGAGCGGCCATCTGCTGAGGCCCACTGGGGTTCAAGGAGACAGAAGCAGACATAGAAAAAGAAGCATAGATACAAAAGGCAACTGTCAACCAGCTCCACAGGCGGCCCCGTCCAGGAAACACAGAATTGCTTCATGTTAGCAGCGTAGGACATGAAACAATGATGGTAAAGTAACTAAATATGCTTCAATAGATGCCAAAGATGCATAAATTAATTAAGTGGATAGCTCACTCTCACATGTGCTCTAATCTTATCTGTGCAACATCTACTTCCAGCCGCCGCCACTGGGGTCTGAGCGGCTACCACAGAGAAATAATCTTTGAAGGCAGGATGGTAATCTGGATGAAATCTGACTGCACAGACCATGTTTTCAGGAGGACTTTCTCACTTCAACATAGATTCAAGCTACTTTTTACCCGCTGATCACAGCTAATATAGCAAAGCTGCTCTCTGGCATTGAACACAGGAGCATCAGGCGCATCTGGACTCACTTTACTGGACGTCTGACCTTAATGAAGCGGGTGTGTTTTGAACGTAGCATAAAGAAACAAGAGGCATGAGGCTTGAAAAATGTGTGATGTTTCATTTATGGCTTCTGAATTCTGCCAAATTAAAAGTGTTTTTTTTAGACATTGAAGAAGAAGTCAGAGAATGTAATGTTTGGTTGTAATGAAAGTGCTGTGCAGATAGCACTGCGCTGTTTCTACCTTGTTTCATTAAAGCTGGACTGTTTAACTGGTCAGACTGAACATTTCAGCAGAGCATGCCAGTCCAGTGCTGTCCATAGCACAGGCATACTGCTGCTCCAGGTAGATTTGATCAAACTTCTGTCCCACAGATCTGTCTCCCAGGCAGGCGTCCAGGTGGACGGTGGCTTTAAACCTGGACTGGAGCAGAACCAGAGACAGAGCCAAGGTGACCACAGAGAACGGGACGCTCTCTGCTTCTTTTCCTGGAAGGATGAACGGGATCACGATCCGGTTTCTTCCTATCGGACCGTGTTTTTTGGTGAGACACTCAAAGCTTTTCCACACGCCATCATCTGGTCGAAGAGGACTAACTGTGATGTTGGGGACCATCTGGTCTCCAGCGTTCTTCATGGAGTTCCAGTGGTCTGGTAGTTTCTTGGGTCGATGTTTTTCATCAGGTACGGAGCAGCCATTCTTCTTGGAGCAGTAGAAGATCCTGTGGTGAGGTCTTAGTTTTCCTGAGGCGATGCCGTACCCTAAACCAGACGTGAAGCAGTTCCAGGGAGCATAAAGCACCACGTCTCTGATGGAGGCCAGAGGCAGCAGACAGCTGGCTGGAATCATGAAGTCTGCGATCGCTCCATGAGCTACGATGGTGACGTCCACAGTACTGCTGTGGTTCTTCTTTTCTTCTGCAGCAATATGTGTTTGCAGGAGGTTAAACATCTCGACCAGCTTGGTGAACCTGTGTGATGCTGTATTTTCTCTAAGCCACATCTGGACAGTCTGATTGGGGCAGTTTTCCATCGCTAGTTTCATCAATCTGCTTCTTTCATCCAGGATCTGAGTGCCTTCAGAAAGCTGAACTCCTTTGAGGCGTCTCCGCCTGGGAAAAAATGAAGCAACAAGTATAAAGTAATCAATCAATCAACCAATCACTCATTGAATCCATCCATCCTTCTATCCATCATCCATCCATCCAAGCAATCAACTATCAATTATCAATTAAAATCAGCTGTGCTGGAGCAGAGAAACATCTAAAACCTGCAAGACAGCGGCCCTCGAGGACCGAGTTTGGGGATGCCTGGTCTAAAGGGCTAGGCCAATCATAAAGTAGAGAAACACCTTCACTATCAATTGGAACTTTGTGCAGCGGTGTTCACAGCAGTAATGGATCATAGCAAGGGGAGGTGCAGAGAAACTGCGCCAGTACTATACAGGGGCACAATAGGGCACCAAATGAAATGCGAGCGCACAGAGCACCTGAGCAAAAACATTTTGTGCAATTATTTATTTTATATAAACATGGGCAAGCAAATATTTTATGGCACTTATTTATATAGTATATATTCTTATTATATTATAAATATAAATATTATAAAGCATCATAAATAAATTGTACTATAAGATTGTTATTTTCTGCATTATGAAATATCAACCTGAAGCAAATTGAATTGAATTGGCCCTATGGTGAACTTCACTGTATATCTCTGATGAAGGCACAATTTATACGGTGGCCCTGAAGTGCAAATTGCAACTACAAATCTAAAAGCGCAACTACATTAAGAAAAACAAAACTACATAAAGCAAAGCGCAACTACATTAAGAAAAACAAAACTACATAAAGCAAAGCGCAACTACATTAAGGAAAACACGATAACATTAACCTACCGGAAAAGGTAGGTATCAGTGGGAAACATGAGACATCGCTGATTGGACGACGGCGCCGTTTGACCCTTGAACCGGAAGTCATTCTGCCTGCTGCGGCTTTTGAAAACATGGATATTGTCGGCGCCCCAAACATAGCTGCCGTTATCCAGGAATATTTTGAATCAGGACATACGTACGAGGTGATACTGGATATGCTCAAGACTAATCACGAAATTTCAGTTAGTTTGCGTAACTGAAGACACACTTAAAAGAAGCTGGACTGTTCAGACGACGCAACTTCCGGTTCAAGGGTCAAACGGCGCCGTCGTCCAATCAGCGATGTCTCATGTTTCCCACTGGTACCTACCTTTTCCGGTAGGTTAATGTAATTGTGTTTTTCTTAATGTAGTTGCGCTTTGCTTTATGTAGTTGCGATTTTTTTAATGTAGTTGCGCTTTGCTTTATGTAGTTGCGATTTTCTTAATGTAGTTGCACTTTGCTTTATGTAGTTTTATTTTTCTTAATGTAGTTGCGCTTTGCTTTATGTATTTGCGATTTTCTTAATGTAGTTGCGCTTTGCTTTATGTAGTTGCGATTTTTTTAATGTAGTTGCGCTTTGCTTTATGTAGTTGCGATTTTCTTAATGTAGTTGCACTTTGCTTTATGTAGTTTTGTTTTTCTTAATGTAGTTGCGCTTTGCTTTATGTAGTTGCGATTTTCTTAATGTAGTTGCGCTTTGCTTTATGTAGTTGCGATTTTCTTAATGTTGTTGCGCTTTGCTTTATGTAGTTGCGATTTTCTTAATGTTGTTGCGCCTTGCTTTATGTAGTTGCGATTTTCTTAATGTAGTTGCGCTTTGCTTTATGTATTTTTGTTTTTCTTAATGTATTTGCGCTTTGCTTTATGTAGTTTTGTTTTTCTTAATGTAGTTGCGCTTTGCTTTATGTAGTTGCGATTTTCTTAATTTAGTTGCGCTTTGCTTTATGTAGTTGCGATTTTCTCAATGTTGTTGCGCTTTGCTTTTTGTAGTTGCGATTTTCTTAATGTAGTTGCGCTTTGCTTTATGTAGTTCTGTTTTTCTTAATGTAGTTGCGCTTTGCTTTATGTAGTTGCGATTTTCTTAATGTAGTTGCGCTTTGCTTTATGTAGTTCTGTTTTTCTTAATGTAGTTGCGCTTGCTTTATGTAGTTGCGATTTTCTTAATGTAGTTCTGTTTTTCTTAATGTAGTTGTGCTTTGCTTTATGTAGTTGCGATTTTCTTAATGTAGTTGCGCTTTGCTTTATGTAGTTCTGTTTTTCTTAATGTAGTTGCGCTTTGCTTTATGTAGTTGCGATTTTCTTAATGTAGTTGCGCTTTGCTTTATGTAGTTCTGTTTTTCTTAATGTAGTTGCGCTTTGCTTTATGTAGTTCTGTTTTTCTTAATGTAGTTGCGCTTGCTTTATGTAGTTGCGATTTTCTTAATGTAGTTCTGTTTTTCTTAATGTAGTTGCGCTTTGCTTTATGTAGTTGCGATTTTCTTAATGTACTGTAGTTGCGCTTTGCTTTATGTAGTTCTGTTTTTCTTAATGTAGTTGCGCTTTGCTTTATGTAGTAAATTTGTCTTCATTAAGCATCTCACTGATATGAGTTTTTGGAACTTGTAATGTCTGCGGTTGTAGTGGAGGCGACGGCGAACCGAGCAGTGAACCTGATGCGGCTGAGGAGAGACATGGCGAGAGAGATGAGAGCAGAGAGCAGGAGGTAATAGATTACTTTGCCCGTCCTGATCCTTGTCTTTTACAAAACTTTTTGAATCACCACCCACAACAAAGCACAAAAAACCCAGTTGTGCAAAAGGTGTTCACCACTAAAAATGCAACCAACATGAGGTGGCTCACATATTGTGAGAAACGTCATGCATTTTTTGGTTTTTATGTATTGCATTTGGAAAGACTTAGGACACAAGCTCATTTATTACTGGGACGTCTGATTGGAGGCATGTGCACCAGTGCACAGAAGAGCATTTGTGTTCTCTCTCTCTCTCTCTCTGATCTAAGAACTGTTGCTGTGCTGTGGTGGAGTTTACATTTCACAGTGCTAATAAATTAAGATTTTGGAAGTATTTTAAGTGTCCACTCTCACTAATTTCCACGAACCAGGCCTCAAGGTGTTGCACAGTTGTTGTACACTTTCAGTACACCAAAATAAATGTGGTGGGCCAGTCTAGTCCAAAATGCAAGGGCCAGTTTTTTGTCCCAGTGCACCCGTGCATCCATCCCATTGCTATTAAGGGCAACTGATTTAGATATTGACATTTTTAGCTTCTCCTTTACAGAAGGACAGCCTCAGATAGACCTGGAATGAATATTAACCAAAAAACAATCTTACCTCTGAACTCTTTTTGCTCCTCTAACCGAAATCTGACGACGTGTCCGGACAGAAGAAGCCTGGAAAACCCAGCTGAGGCTGTTGTTGCTTTGACCATTGATAAACACGCAGAAACAGATAATTATTAACTCTGAAAAAGGTTTGCAGTCTTTATAAATGGCTTTTATCAGACAGCCTGGTGGAGTTTCTTCATAATTATGAACCAAAAACAGATTCCAGAGCACAGAAAAGAGAAAACATTTTCTATCCCCTAGAAACATTACTTTAAGGACAGAAATATTTTGACTTTATCCCTGTTTTTAGTGGTTGCATCATGTACGTGTTTATGTCCAGGATTTATGACACCAGGCCTTTATTTAAAGTGTATTTAAGGTGAACATTGGACACATTTAAAACAGATATCTATTAAAAAAATAAAAATAAAAAATAAAGTTTTATGTAACTTCTGTCACTGTAATCAGAATAAAAATGCTGCTTTTCAAGTAAGAACCTCGTTTGTTTGTGTGGATAACCTGGAGGGGATGATCATGCAGGGAGTTTCACTTTAGTGGGAAAGTTTTATAAATCCCCGCATTAACTTTGGAATTCCCTCTCTCCCCGTTTGTGTTGTATGAAAGGAACCGGGTTTGAATTATTGGAGCATTCCTGTTCAAACATTGGTTTTAGGGAAGAACTCCACCTAACAGGTAAGGCTCTTCTCTATAGGGCCATCCTCACCTTACTTTGGGGTTTTGCTGATGATTATTAGATATATTTGTCCATCTTAGAGGAGCAAACATTTACTGTTAACAGAACAAATTAACTTTGATTGGATTCTTTTCAGTCTCGGTTCCTGACCTAAGGAGGAAGCCTCCTCTAAAGGTCAGAAATGTTCACACCATTACCTTCATTACTGCTGAGTTCACACAGATTAAAACACTTGAATTAAACTCTTTATATTAAAGCATTTTAAAATTAAATAAAAATTTCTGCTCAATAAGATTCCTTGTTTCCTTTAATAATCTCCTGATCTTCACTTCTTTCATCTTTTAACGTCCGAACTTCCTGTTGTTTTAGTGACGAGGCAGCAGATGGAGGCAGAGAGCTATATTTTGAACAGAGCTGAAACTAAACTACAAATAGATAATCTGAATACCGACTATCCCTTAAGTGCTCATTACACTCAAGATGATTCAAGATGTGAAGACATCTTTTTTCATGTGATAATTTTAGTCTAAATCCTGAATTATGGACACGGAAGTATTGCTTTTATTCTCTCTGGACCAAGTGACTGAGTCAAATATTCAACTTGTTCACAAAGAGCTGAGTGGAATTTTGCAGAAACTCACAGATTCTCCAGCTGCTTCTCCAGCTCCTCCATGGCAGCAATCAGCTGCATCAGACCCTGGAAGGGCAGGTCACTCATGGCTTTTTGTTTTTAAGAGGAAAGACTAGGAAATAAAAGTTTTATAGGTGGAAAAAAAAAAAAAAAAAAAAAACATTCATGATGTCTCTGATCTGAGAACAACCTGCTGCCTCCTCTTCTTAACATCACCAACCTGCAGACATAAAGCAGACCAGCTCAAAATAAACATAAACTTCTCAAAATGAGGGGAAAAAAATACAAACAATGATGCAAAAGAAGCTGCAGTCTGTCTTCCTCCTTACCTCTAAATGAATTCCTCCACTGTTTGACACTTTAATCACTTCTGAGGTGCCTTTAAATGTCCTCCATGCTCTGGAAATCACCTTTTCACCGAAAATAAAAAAGTCCAGTGGGTGTGACCTTAACTCCATTCAGTTATCAGAGGCAGAGAAACATCTTAATTGTTTCCCTCATTGATAATAAGTCATGTTGAATTAGAAAGTGAAACACTGTGTTCACCGTGGAAACCAGGAGACCTGCAGAAGCTGCAGAACAGGTTTATATGTAAACAAAGACGTAATAAAGGGATATTTTAAAAAAAAATCCCCTCATGCCTTAGAATAAGGCTTCCTGTAAACCAGATGATTTATTCTAACGAAGCAGTTTTTCCCTACAGCGCAACAAAAGAGGCAAAACACAATTACCACAGTTCCCATTAAACTAATAAATGTCCCATTCAATAAAATAAAAAAATCATAATGTAATGCATATTCAAAAAATTTAACAATTAAAGACTTATACTATCCATTTAACAGTTAAATTTAATGTGACTAGGTGTGCCTTTTAGCTGATTTAAATAAAGTATCAAATATCTTTTTTAAGAATAAATTCTATTATTGTAAAAATGAGAAATCTCCTGTCCAGGGGTGATGCTGAGAAACTAGTCCATGCATTTGTTACTTCAAGGCTGGACTATTGTAATTCTTTGCTATCAGGAAGTCCACAAACTGTAGTTAAAAGCCTTCAGCTGATCCAAAATGCTGCAGCCAGAGTTCTGATGAAAATTAAAAAGAGAGATCATATCTCTCCTATCTTGGCTTCTCTTCATTGGCTTCCTGTTAAATCCAGAATAGAATTTAAAATCCTCCTTCTCACATATAAAGCCTTAAATGGCCAAGCTCCATCTGATATCAGAGATCTGATTGTTCCTTATGTTCCTAACAGAGCACTTCGCTCTCAATCTGCAGGTTTACTAGTGGTTCCTAGAATTTCTAAAAGTAGAATGGGAGGCAGATCTTTTAGTTATCAGGCTCCTCTCCTGTGGAACCAACTACCAGTTTTAGTCCGTGAGGCAGACACCCTGTCTACTTTTAAGGCTAGGCTTAAAACTTTCCTTTTTGATAACGCTTCTAGTTAGAGTAGCTCAGGTTATCCTGAGCTATCTCTATAGTTATGCTGCTATAGGCTTAGACTGCTGGAGGACATAGGGACCCCTTTTTCATCATTCTATCTCTATTCTCCCACTCTGCAGAATCTATTAGTTCAATCTCTAACGTTCTGCTCTCTCTGCTTTTTCTCATAGTAGCTTCATCTGGCCTGTTCCTGTTTGGCTGTGACTCCATCCTGGAGAGAAATATCAGCTGTGCTGCTGCCATCAACACCTTTGTTTCTAGATGTTGGAGCTTGGCCTGTTTTCCAGTGTAGTCCTGTTTCTCTGACTGTGACTAACTGGATGTGCTCTCTTCATCCTCTGACATGGGAGCTGGCTCGGAGCTCGTCTGCCTGGCTGTGTGTTTCCTGGACGGGGCCGCCTGTGGAGCTGGTTGACAGTTGCCTTTTGTATCTATGCTTCTTTTTCTATGTCTGCTTCTGTCTCCTTGAACCCCAGTGGGCCTCAGCAGATGGCCGCTCACACTGAGCCTGGTTCTGCTGGAGGTTTCTTCCTGTTCAAAGGGAGTTTTTCCTCTCCACTGTCGCTACAAGCATGCTTAGTGTGAGGGATTGCTGAAGAGTCAATGAGTCGATGCAATCAGCTGGTTTTCCTTAGATAGAAAACTTTGAATCAATCTGACTGGATGATCTGGTGAACTGGAAAGTGACCTGAGATGACATGATGTGAATTGGAGCTATAGAAATAAACTGAATAGAATTATTAAAATTACAAATAATGTTTTTTTTTTTTTATAGCAGCAGAGTTGTGAAAGGATCAAAACTATAAACTGGACCCATCAAATCCACTTCAGTTAAACCCAGTTTATTTATAGAGCATCAATTCTTCTCAGGTGATTTTAGTCAGACAGAGAAACCAGCAGACCTGCTGGGCCACACCGGCTGCTGGAGAAACACCCAATAGAGATCCCACGCCAGGACCAAAATAAACCAACATCTTGATTATGGTAATAACTTGATGATGTCATGATTTTGGCACTGATGGCTGGTCAACAGCAAAAGAACATTTTTGCTGCACGAACTGAGTCGAGTTAAATGACACCCATTTCGTCTGATTTAAAGAAGATGAGGGGGGCTGGTTGACCTTTGACCTCTAGAAACATTTCTTTATATCTTTAAAATGATAGCAGCACAAACGAAAGTTTTTGCTGCACAAACGTTTCACATTTTGTCCGATTTGAAGAAGGTTGGGGGGCCAACTTCACTCATGTGACAGTGGGGGATCCTTGTTGGGTTACCAACTGCATGTTCATGTCTAGACGGAATCAGGATCAGAATGGTTGGATTAAAACCATTGAAACCATTCTTAAAACACTGAAGTCTAAAGATAAGCTTAATCAATTGGATAGAAACTTGGCTAATAGGTTACATTAAACGTCATAAAAATTGTAAAAGGTGCACAAGATACAAAACTTTCTCCCTGGGCAAGTTGAGTTGAGTTTTCAATTTAGTTCAATTTATTTCTATAGCTCCAATTCACATCATGTCATCTCAGGTCACTTTCCAGTTTACCAGATCATCCAGTCAGATTGATTCAAAGTTTTCTATCTAAGGAAAACCAGCTGACAAGCTCACACACACACACACACACACACACACACATACACACACACACACACACACACTGCTGCGGGTGGATAACCAGTCCTTGTCTGTGGTCACCTACAGTGGAAAAACGACCTAGAAATAAGTAAGAAGTTCTTAAATTAAGTGTATTTAACCTTAATTTGAGTAGGTAAATGGGATCATTTGCCAATGGAATTAGTATTTTTACTCTTAAAATAAAAAATTTAGATAAAAGGCACTTGAATTAAGTCAATGCAATTGTGTTTTCTTATTTTGAGTGTAAATAGTCTTGATCCATTGGCAAAATGTCTCTTTTACCTCCTCAATTCAAGAACAAATTTACTTATTTTAAGAAAAAAGGAGTTATCTAGATTTCGAGTGGTGCACCAGAGTGTCTGCGGGGGGGGCGGGGCATATCTGCGTTAACCGCGAACACACGCAGACGACCTGCTTAACTCTGCTGTTCCCCGGACCTCTGCACCGCAGCCCCGACAGCAGGGCGCCACCTGGTGGTGGAGGGGAAAAACTAAATAAAAACAACACACACAGACTGGTTTCCTAACCAAATCATTTCATCTTTTTTATATAACTGCCTTATTTTAATGATTTAATTGTTTCAGCGCTTTGAATCGTCTATAGTGCTATATAAAGAAACCTGCCTGAACAATGTGTCTTCCAAAGAGCTGAGCTTCAAGAGTATGAAGGACTAACTCTGCCATATTTAAAAATAAATACAGAAATAAATAAATGCTCAATAAATGTATAGGCATACAATTAATTGCCAACAAAAAAGTGAGACATAAATGTATATAACTCTTAATTAGCTTCTTTATTTATTTGCCTTTGTAATATTTACCTTATTTATTTTTCTGTCCTTTATAATCTTCAACTTTATTTTTTAATTACTTATATTTTTAAGTATTTATTTATGTGCATGTTATAATATTTTTGTCTGTTTTATTCTTCCTTTGTATTTTTTTACCTTAGTTATTTCTTCGCCGCTGTTTATTTGTCTCTGCCCTTTTTACATTTCTCTATGCATTTCTGCCTCATTATGCAAATGAGGAGGGGGTGTGTCCTAGAGAGTAAACTTCTGCTCATTGGTTGGCTTGGCGGCCCATCTTCTTAACTCACAGAGCTCAGAGTACTAAGTTAAATGTTCTCTTTTCTGTTGCTGTTGTTCAATTAAAGTATGTTTTAAGATCATTTGAGGCGAGAACCTTATACTTTTAAGCATCACCATATGGCCCATTCACAGATTTAATGCGTAATTTAAAAGAAAATGTGACGAACTTGAGAGGACCGTGGCAACCAGCGGAGCTCCGAAGCTGATGGCAGCCAGGTCTATAGCCAGGCTATGATGGCGATTTTTTGTTGTATTTGGCAAAGTCCCTACTCAAGTTCTAATGACTTCAGACTCGACATCAGACTCTCCTCCTGTAGATTCGACCGATGTAGTAAAATGCTAACCAACACGCTTCACACACGGTTATGCCGAGAGAGGGCCGCTGCAGATGGGCTGTGGTCGGACCTGGCTGCCGTCAGCTTCGGAGCTCCGCTGGTGCCGCGGTCCTCTCAAGTTCATCACATTTTCTTTTAAATTACGCATTAAATCTGTGAATGGGCCATATGGTGATGCTTAAAAGTATACGGTTCTCGCCTCAAATGATCTTAAAACGTACTTTAATTGAACAACAGCAACAGAAAAGAGAACATTTAACTTAGTACTCTGAGCTCTGTGAGTTAAGAAGATGGACCGCCAAGCCAACCAATGAGCAGAAGTTGACTCTCTAGGACACACCCCCTCCTCATTTGCATAATGAGGCAGAAATGCAGACAGAAATGTAAAAAGGGCAGAGAGAAATGTAAAAAGGGCAGAGAGAAATAAACAGCGGCGAAGGTATAACTAAGGTAAAAAAAATACAGAGGAAGAATAAAACAGACAAAAATATTATAACATGCACATAAATAAATACTTAAAAATATAAGTAATTAAAAAATAAAGTTGAAGATTATAAAGGACAGAAAAATAAATAAGGTAAATATTACAAAGGCAAATAAATAAAGAAGCTAATTAAGAGTTATATACATTTATGTCTCACATTTTTGTTATTTCTGTATTTATTTTTAAATATGGCAGAGTTGGTCCTTCATACAAGAGGAGCCAACATCATCAGAATGGGGGAGCAAAGTAGCAGTTTTTTGGGGTTTTTTTCCCAGCGTTTTATTCTCATTATACTGTCACAAGTACAGAGTAACTGTCAGGACTCCTGTTTTTTGGTGTTTGTGTTTCTGTGTTTGTCTCCCTTCGTCCACCAGGAGGCGCCTGGTTCTGGTCCGCCTCCTCACACAC